CAGAACACGCCAAAAGGGAATTATAGTCGGACAGAAATTTATAAGAAAACATATTGAATGTAAACGCAGCACCAACAAGTTCAACTTGCTAGCCATCACCGGCTGACAGTGTGACGTCAGAAACCCGTCCAACCAATCGCAAGGTGCACCACACACAGGTGAAGTTTAAAAACCTCAATAAATAAAAATGTGACATAAATGACGTCACTTCTAGTATCACCAACTTATATTTTACAAGTGGACAAAATTGGAACTAATGAAAACTCGAACAAAATAGCAATTTTTAAATATCATTGCATGATCCACTAGCGCCATTGTCAACTGTATTGATAAGTTTGTACTTTGAATGGTCAAGGCTAGAGTTCGATATTCAAGTTTGAAATTGGAATTACTGTTTACTGGCCAGCGCGTAATGAAATCGTTGAAAGTTTATGTCATTCTGTATTTTTTTAACATTTTTTGTTCGTCTATTTGATGAAGATGTTTGTGTTAATTAATCAGGAGGTCGTAGGTTTGATTTGCGGTTGGGGCAAAATTGTTTTAGTCGTCACAAGATTGATTATTAAGTACAAATATGAGGTGTCGAGTTAGATCAGTTCGAGTTAGATAATATATTATTGGATTTTCAATTCTTGGCAACAACTCATCATCAACAGTCTATAAATGCCTACTGCTGAGCAAAGTCTCTTCTCACACGGAGAAGGTTAGAGCATTAATCACCACGCTTGCTCAATTAAATACGGGTTGGCTATTTCAAACTTATAATTAGAAATTATAAGCCCAGGTTTCCTCACGATGTTTTCCTTCACCGTTTGTCAGTGGTGTCTAAATAATCTTAGAAAGTACAAATAACTCGGAAAAAGTCACATTGGTACTTGCCGTTGGTAGGTTTCGAACCTGCACCCTCGTGCATGAGAAGCGGGTGTCTTCAACCTCCGGGCCACCATGACACATTTGTATTTAAGGCAACAACACATTAAGGTTATATTTGAAAGTGACTACGAATGTGAATAGATATAGCTATAGCACGTCAATGGGGATGATGACAGGGTATGAAATTAAAAATCTAATTAGTCCGTAACTTAGGTAATAAAAAAATATTAGACACGTATTTTTTTATTTTGTTGTATAATAAAACAATACTTAGATAAAACGAATCAAAGTTTAGGAGTGGGGGCTAAAACGTCATTTCTTAGTATAAAATGTACTGAGAAGTGACGTCACGCGACATTTCAAATCAATATATCTTCGAAACTATTCGTTTCCGTAAGAAAATAAAAAATACGTGTCTAATGTTTTTAAATAATCCACCAGACGGACATTAAAATAAAAATTAGTCGTCTACCCCGATACCTCAATGTGACTGCCGTTTTTATACAATACAGTAGTTGACAACTGGTCAAATTCAATACTTTTTTCGAAACGTCAAAAACGATACTGTTCTATGAATTTTGTACGAAATACCATCTTATGACGTCATCATATTTTCGAGTCAAATAGCACATTTATATCTAAAGAAAATGCTGGAATAAATCGAAAATTAAGTATATCGGCAAATCAATGAATGAAAGTGTTACTATTCTTCAATATTAAATTGGACTGAAAAAGCAAAATAATTTATTTTTAACCCAGGAAACTACGCAATTCTTCATTTACTTCCATATAACTAAAGTATACCAGTACATCCGTTCTTAAGAACCACATTGTTCCTTTAAGAGTACAGAGTACTCTTGAAAAAAATCTCATTTTCTGGATATTTTTCGGTGTAAAAGGTTCTCTTCTCTTCATTGTTAGCTCAAAAAACGTATGTCAAGAGTCTAGGATTTCTCTCTTGAGATTTCCGTCTAACCCAGTATTATAAAGAAAGGTCAAATTCTGAAGGAAGATTTTCCGGTTGCATATAAGCTTATTACAAAGTAAAGTCGCCTGTTTTTTTTTTTAAATTGGAGTAGGTACTTACTCTTTACAGTATAGAGTCTCTTGGACATTCTGCCTAGTTGACCGAGTGGTAGCAAGTACGGCGGCAAGGGGTCTCGTGTTCGATTCCCGGGTCAGGCAAAATATTACTGGGTTTTTCTTAAAAAATCTCAGTAGTAGCACGGAGTCTGAAATTGTGCCCGGTATATGGCAATGAGTTCACCCCCTATTACATTGGACTCATAACATCGATAGTGAAAAGTGGGTGGTACTTTGCACAGTGGCATTAATTGTCGTAATGTGCACCTCTGCTTACCTCTTCGGGAATAAAAGGCGTGATGTTGTGTTAGAGTCTCTTGGAATAGGCAGAGAATTCAATTATTGTCTCAATCTCAATTCCAGGTTCTGCAAAGTCACATAAAATAAGGTTTTGCCTAAAATAATGCAATTTCATAACTATGGTAATAATAATACTTGAATCAATTAATAATTGATTAAGATTAATTAATAAAAATGCAGACCTACGTTTTGATTAAATACTTTAAGTGCAAGAAGTAAAATAATAAAAAAAAAATCAACCGAATTATAGAAATGTATTTTTTTATTTTAAATCAAGGCAACAAAAGACTTGAACCCAAAACTAGTTTCTTGACCGTCAACCTTTACGTTCATTTTAAATTTCGAATTATGCATTCAAATTTCGAATATTGCTGTCAAGTTTGTATACCTACGTCATTTTTAATAATAATTTATGGTTTGTTATGTTTTTTTTTTCTTTTAAAAATAGTGTAAGATGACGTTAAAATGCAGTTTCTATGCGATTTTATTTTTTAAGCAGGGCTTTGCCTTTCGTTTTGGATAGAGCGCTTATAGAAACATTAGACTTCCTAATTTTGTTAGACATTTTATTAAATTTTCTAGATAGTATAATATGACGTAAAATTACGCCTTTTCGTCGCTTAACGGAAAGGCAAAGGTGCACTAATAGGACTTTACGTTATTTCTCATATTTTTTTTTATTATCTATGGTTTTAGGGACATGTCTTCTCATAAATTGGTCAATAATGCATCTATTACCAGACACCGGGCACAATATCCAGATACTGTGTAACTTCCAATAAAACCAACACTGAAACCACTCACTTGACAGGCTTGCTTTTGAGCAATCAGCTTATGAGGCAACCTACTGTATTCTTAAATGCATAATGGTACATTTGACTTCAAAACAAAACAATAATATCACCTAATTAATGGATGACTCACAGTTAATTGTTATCATTTAAGTATCGATTATTGTAAAAGTACATCATAATCCTATACATTACAATATTTTTTTAATAGATTATACTTTTTAACAACTTGTAGGGGATTTGAAATCATATTTGTAATTTTTCTTTTCCTTATTGTATTTCTTTATGGAATAGGAGGCAACTGAGCAGACCGATCACCTGATGGTAATCAATAAGCGTCGCCCAAAGACACTGAAACATAAGAGGAGTCACAGGAGTGTTGCTACCCTTTTAAATAGGAATATACTCTTTGTATGGCCATTTCTTTTGATTTTAAAGTTAGTTTCGTTGGTCGTTTGAATACAACTGAAACGATAAAGTAACTATGGGGGCTTATGTTGAATCCTTAGCCCCCTTAGACATAAGAGTATATAGACTTAACACTTTGGAAAGAGCGCCTAGCTTCACTGACAGACTGACGGACGTACAATTCAATTCAAGACATTTCAAAAGTGCCTGAATATGGATTAAATGAAATAAATGCTTTGACTTTGACTTTGAGTCTGACACTCCCTCTCGCCTGACTCTAGGCGGGAGAAGTCGTTGGCTGATTTTTTAAATCCCTTAGACAAATATCAAAAACGCTTAAAGAATTGATTGAATAGAAATGCCAATGACAGTGTCAATCTCTTACATTGGATTTTCTATACGCCTTACAACTTAAGTCTCTATCTTTGTTAATTGTAAGTCTATTCGTTGGCGTCTACGTCACCCGTAGGAAGGGTGCTGACAAATGTATTAAGTTGTCTATTCTAATCACACGGATAATTTTAGAAGTAAAGGTTTGAGAATGTGCCTAAGTTAGGCTAATCTATCTCTATCAATAAATCAGTATATGTACCTTTTCTTGTTCTTTTAACAGGACAACTTCTACAAGAAACTGACTTCCAAAACGCAACTTAAACCAATTCATTCCATAATTAATTTATTAATTCCTGACTATAACGTCATGCCTTCTAGGTGTTGGTAGAGGTGCATATTACAGCTCTTAATGCCACTGTACAATATAACACCCACTTTTCACTATTTATGTTATGAGTCCCATGTAATAGGGGGTCAGCCTATTGCCATATACCGTGCACGATTCCAAACTCCGTATTACCACTGACAATTTTTTGGTGCTCAACCCGGGAAACTATTTATTCTTTACAACAAATACCCATTCATGTTATTACCTAAAATTGACTTAACTTTTCTATGGCTTCGATTAAGCAAGCGAAAGATAATTAACTTAAATTCTATTCTAGTGCCTATAATAATGTAATACTATCAATCAGGCTAAAAATAGCCTCTACATCATTAGTCTAGGCTACAAAAGCTGCTCAAAAAGTGGTTTTATGAGAATTAAAAAGTCGATTGAGCTAGATAATATCAGGCTTCTTCTTATAAGGATAGACAGCAGTGTACTTAGAGTGCACTGACTTTAAGAGGTATGTTAGTTAATTTATTAGAATTATGCACTATAATTAAAGAAGCCAGCTAAAATTTGGAATTAATTTTCAAAAATTTGCAATAAAGACAATATTTAATTTAAACCACAGTGCACGATATTATTATCAACTCTAAAATTGAATCGAAGTCTTATATTTTAGTGCAATCAACCTAAACAGTAAAAAAGAAATACCGAACACAAGTTTCTAAACTAAAATCGGAAGACCAAGTAATAGTTTCACTCGGTAATCGAACTAGAGACCTCGTGCCAGGTCAATCAACCAACGCAACTAAAAGAAAAACGGCGTAAAAGAAAAAAGGGTAAAAGATAAAATGAGTAAAAGATATTTTGAAAAGGCTTACCAAAACGGTTTGAACTTCCTTGGTTATATTATAACACACACTACACTACACATGACCAGACCACTTGGATTCTTGTCAATGCAATGTTACTTTCTACTTCGACTCAAACTTTATAAACACAAAACAACCACAGAAAAACTTAAAAAAACATATATTTAAACTTGAACAACGATTTTATGACAATATTTCTTTAAAAGATAAGTTGTACCGTTTATTTTTGACGCGTAAAAGTTTTTTTTCTGCGGAGCGGCGAGAGACGTGCGCTCTGCTCGACAGTCGGTTGGCATCTAGCGAATTCTTGACCTTCAAGCAATCAAATGCACTAGAGCGAAGTTGGTTGTAGACCGGTTCGCTTTAGGCAAAAGTTGAACTTTTTTCTTTTTGCTCACACTCGGACTTCAGAGCCGAGTGCACTTTTTTTTGGTTCGGCTACTATCATCAAGGTGGTGCGTTTTGAGAGTGAGCTGTAGCTGTTTTTTTGGGAGATTTAATTAATTGATAGGTTAGTTTAATTGTTTTGTGTATAATTAGATATTCATTTTAATTTTGAGTTTTTTCTATCATTTGTCGATTGTTATACTAGTAATATTTATTCAAATGATGAAGATGAAGAAACAAAAAAATGAGGTTAAAAAATGAAATTAGAGATTTATCAAAAAAAATATTAGATAATACTTTTTCTTTATAATCGAAGTGAAAGTAGGATAGGATGGATAATTTGATGTTATACACATTTTTTGCTAATCTATGGTCCACATAATTGTCGCGGAGAACCTAACGGGTAACCGGGGCTCCGGCTCGACGTGCAGGAGAAGGAACGGGGTGGTTTTTAGTCAGTAAGAGTCTGACACTCCCTCCTGCCTCACCCAGGCGGGAGCAGTCATTCGATGATTTTCACCCCTTAAAAAAAAAATGGTCCACATAATAATTACAATTATGTCAAAAAGTGGATACCCACTTACCCACCTACCCAAGTATGGGCTTACTTAAAAAACAGTGGACATGCCGTCCACTGTTTTTTAAATATTTGTTTTTGTTCTAACGATGATGGATTTTTTAAGGGGAGAAAATCATCGAATAGCTACTCCCATCTGGGTGAGGCGGGAGGGAGTGTCAGACTCTTACTGACTAAAAACCACCCCGTTCCTTCTCCTGCACATCGAGCCGGAGCCCCGGTTACCCGTTAAGTTCTCCGTGGTTGGGTTATTTAGCTGCATAACGCATAAGAAAAACTGTTAAACAAAAGTTACGAAAAGTTTGTATGCTTAAACTTAATTCCTACGTTGATTTGAATTGAGTACTTTCCTTAGTCAAAAATAAATTATTTTGACTAGTCAATACAATAAAACATTTAAAAAAAATCATACTGCCATTCATTGATTTAATGACCAACTTAATTTTATAGTATTTTTCCAGCAAATTTTTAAGAAATATTGTGGTGACCCCGATGTAAAACAACCGGAGATAAAACGCCCGCTTCTCATGCATGAGGATGCGGGTTTGAGACCTACCAATGGCAAGTATCTATGTGACTTTTTCCGAGTTATATGTACTTTCTAAGATTATTTAGACACCACTGACAAACGGTGAAGGGAAACATCATGAGGAAATCTGGACTTATAATTTCTAATTATTAGTTTGAAATCGCCAACCCGCATTGAACAAGCGTGGTGATTAATGCTCAAACCTTTTCCGTGTGAGAAGAGGCTTTGCTCAGCAGTGGGCATTTATAGGCTGTTGATGATGATGATGATGATGATGATGATGAAATTTGTAAGAAATACTCAAATATACTGTTTGACGCTAAAAAACGTGACGTCACAATACACAATCTCGTACAAAATTCACAGAAAACTGTCGTTATTGACAGTTCGAAAAAAGTATTGAATACGACTAGTGGGCAAGTACCCAATTCCTTAAATAGGGGTGGAAGTTTGTATGTACTTATTTGCACGGTATGCAGACTATTTGTGACCAATGAAATCTTTTTTATATATATATACTAGCGGACCCGACAGACGTTGTCCTGCATTTTATTACCATATTTCAAGATATTAAGTTTTAACTCGTCGAGTATCGGTTTTGTAGACACAATTATAGAACAATAGGTTGCGGTCACCGGTGACCGTTTGGTGTTTGACAGTTTAAATAACCTGTCGCGTAGAACCTAACGGGTAACCGGGGCTCCGGCTCGACGTGCAGGAGAAGGAACGGGGTGGTTTTTAGTCAGTAAGGTCTGACACTCCCTCCCGCCTCACCCAGGCGAGAGCAGTCATTCGATGATTTTCCCCCCTTAAAAAAAAAGGCATTGCATGGAGCGCCATCTGCCGGGCTGATTTGTGAATCTAAACCGTCCAGTGCGCCACTCAAACGCATACAGAAAATATCATTGAAATCGGTCAAGCCGTTTAGGAGGAGTTCTATGACATACACACGCACAGCAGAATTATATATATATATATATATAAAGATTTTTATCTGTCAAAAAATATTTTCTAAATAACCAGGATATAGGTACCATACCGGTCTAATAAACATATTATTACTAGATTTTTTACTTGTGTCTCTATTATTCGGTTTTTCTTTTATATACAATAACTAAGTGACTTCTTTTATTAAGTCTCGGTCACGATATATAACAAGAAACATTTGTAAAAAGTTTTCCATACAAATGATAAAATATCTACTAGCATAAAACTCAAAAGTTTGTTTGTTGCAAGGTAGGAAATATAGCTATCTGGAAATATGCACATTACACCCTCTACATCATTTGAAAAATATAACAATTATGACGTCATTATACTGTACAATGTAATACCCACTTTTCACTATTTATGTTACGAGTCCCATGTAATAGGGGGCAAGCCTATTGCCATATACCGTGCACATTTCCAGACTCCGTGCTACTACTGAGATTTTTTATAAAAACCCAGTTATACTTTGCCCGACCCGGGAATCGAACACGAGACCCATTGCTCGGCAGTCGCACTTGCAACCACTTTCTCTAAGAAAAACTACTAAATAAAAATAACCCTTATGTTAATGACATCGGCTAAAACTAGTTCTTTAACTCGGTTATGCTCAACCTGTCTAGACAATACCTATAAAGGTAAAAGTTCAAAAACGTTTTTGTTTCGTCTGAAAAAGACAATAGACATTTGAGATTCATCCTTATTAATAAAATGATTGTAATAATGATACCTACAGTACGGTTCACGAGTAATGGGCTTATGGCGGGTGTGAAGTTCGCGCAAAAAACTGCGCAATAACATATTTTAGGAACCAAACGGCGACGTGTGCTACAGATTGGCTCTAATTAAACACAGTCGTTTTATTGTTTAACCCTTCGGGGATAAAAGGTGTGATGTTATGTTTCAATTTAGAAAAATATCTATATATTAACAAATTATCACGTACTGACTAAGGGGTCTATGATATCATATTATATTGGTTTCTGCATTGTGATTGTACCTAGTCTTAATCAATTTATTTGCGAGTATGCGCGAAAGTGACTTGTGGCTAACTTCATACCCGTTATCACTCGTGAACCGTACTGTACCTATATTAAGTAAAAAAATAAACGATAGCTTTTGTTTTTCCGAATCATCTATAAGATTTTAATGAACCAATGCGAATTTGTAATAGTCTCAGTATTGTAGAGGACATACCTACTAATATAGTGAATGAAAATGAAAATTCCTCATTGGCCCAGTGGTCGCAGTATTTCTGCCGGGCAAGGGGTCTCGGGTACGATTCCCGAATCGGGCTAAATATTACTGGGTTTAAAAAAAGTCTTAGTAGTAGCACGGAGTCTGGAAATGTGCCCGGTATATGGCAACAGGCTCACTTCCTATTACATGGGACTCATAACATAAAAAGTGAAAAGTGGGTGTTACATTGTACAGTGGCATTAAGTGCCGTAATGTGCACCTCTGCTTTGCTTCCCGCATTCCCATGGAATGAAAAGTGTTGTCTGTATGTATATTAGTCCTTCACGTCAAAACGGCTAAAGGGATCGAGATAAGAACACGGACAAAGCCGCTGTCAGAAGCGAGTTCCCAATAAATTATCTTTTCTATTCACTTGATTTGACAAACGCCTGCCTCCAGAGGAGCACAACAGAAAAAAAGGTCATGGAAACGTAGTCAGATATTTTCAGAGAATTGTAAAAAAAACTTTCCTTACTTCTTTACCCGACCCAGGGAATGAACCCGAGACCTTTCACTTGGCACTTGAATAGTATTTACGTCACATTTTCATGAAAATTGTTATGACGTAATAATTATGAATCCTACCTTCTAAGAATGAAATGATTCAACATATAAACGTTTAATTATTAAAATAAACATTAAATTGATTGCTCATTTGGTTTAGTGGTTGGATACGTGACTACTGCGCACGAGGTTCCGGGTTCGTTGGTAAAAACCATATTTGTTATTCCCCTCAGACTTGGTTATAGGCACTGTTTAACAATACTTCCCCTCAGATGTAACAATACCTATACCTACCTCCCTGCCCATACACTTTCGGAAAAATAGGGAAGGTATAAAAATGTATTCTGAGGCCTTAATATGAGTTTGATTTACGTTCAAAGTAATAACACCAAGACTGTATTCGACGCTTCCAATGAACCAGCTCTGATTGGTTGGTTCATAGGAGTCGGCCAATCAGGCGCGAAACTGGTACTAGGTCCTCTGATCTGCTATCACCTTTGTTTGTTGATCTAATTCGGGACTTTTAGCAACACAGAGCGAGACGTGATAAGTGTATTATCTTTGGACAGGTTGAAGTGTGATGAATAGGGATGATGACAGGGTATGAAAACTAAAAATCTAATTAGTCCGTAAGTTAGGTAATGAAAAAATATTAGACACGTATTTTTTTTTGTCGTATAAGAAAACAATACTTAGATATAACGAATCAAAGTTTAGGAGTGGGGGCTAAAACGTCATTTCTAACTATAAAACGTACATAGAAGTGAATATTTCAAGTATTCTTTTCTGTAAAAAAATAAAAAAAATCATATCTAATGTTTTAAAATAATCTACCAGACGGACATTATGAATGAAAATAAGTCATCTAACCTATAGTCGCCAGTCTGAAGGTCAGCTGTTTGCTCGACTCAACCTCCAAAGATCGGATGCGCACTAGTAACTTCTCTGGAGTTATGGTTGTCCATCATCATCATCATCAACAGCCGAAAGATATCCACTACTGGACAAAGGCCTCCCCCTTAGTCCTCCACGTTAAACGACAACTCGCCACCTGTATCCAATGGCTCCGCGCAACTTTTGTTGTC